GCCTTAGGTGGAGCTCCCTATGGGACCACGAAAAGTGTGAGAGGTGCGCCGAAATGGGTGTGGCAGACGCATGTGGCCGCGCCCGCTGGGGCCTTCGGTAGAACCCCCTATGGGGCCACGAACCGTGTGAGGGGTGTGCCGAAGTGGGTGGCGCGGACGCATGGAAACGCCGCCACTGGGGCCTTAGGTGGTGCTCCCCATGGGGCCGCGAACCATGTGAAGGGTGTCCCGAAAATGTGTGGCGAGGACGCATGGGAACGTCGCCGCTGGGGCCTTCGGTGGAACTCCCTATGGGGCCACGAACCGTGTGAGCGGCGTGCTGAAATGCGCGGCGCGGATGCATGGGAACGCCGCCACGGGGTCTTAGGTGGAGCTCCTTATGGGGCCACGAACCTGTGTGAGGGGTGTGCCGAAATGAATGGCGCGGACGCATGGGAACGTCGCCACTGAGGCCTTGAGTTGAGCTCCCTACTGGGCCACGAAACGTGGAGGTACGCCGAAATGGGTGGCGCGGACACATGGGGGCCCCCCGTGGAGCTCCCTACAAGGCCACGAACCGTGTGAGGGGCGTGCCGAAAATGGGCGGCGCTGACGCATGGGAACGTTGCCACTGGGGCCTTAGGTGGCGCTCCCCATCGGGATACCAAACGTGTGACAGGTGCGCCCGCATGGGTCGGTCGGACGCCTGCGGACGTCGCAATTGGGGCCTCAAGTGGAGCTCCCTACAGGGCCACGAAAAGTGTGAGGGGTGCGCCGAAGTGGGTGTGGCAAACGCATGTGGCCGCGCCCGCTGGGGCCTTCGGTAGAACCCCCTATGGGGCCACGAACCGTGTGGGGGGTGTACCGACGTGGGTGGCGCGGACGCGTGGAAACGTCGCCACTGGGGCCTTAAGTGGAGCTCCCTATGGGGCCACGAAACGTGCCAAAATGGGGACGACGACGCCATGCGAACTGTGCCACTGGGGCCTTAGATGGTGATGACGACGGCCATGATGTTCATGATGATGACGACGGCAACGACAACGACGATGGTGATGCTGATGCTGATGCTGATGCTGATGACGATGACGATGACGATGACGATGGTGATAATGCTGATGATGATGATGCTGATGATGATGATGATGCTGATGATGATGATGATGATGGTGATGATGGTGATGGTGATGGTGATGATGATGATGATGATGATAATGCTGATGATGATGATGATGATGATGATGATGATGATGATGATGATGATGATGATGGCGATGGTGGTGGTGATGGTGATGGTGATGCTGATGATGATGATGCTGATGCTGATGCTGATGCTGATGCTGATGCTGATGTTGCTGATGATGATGATGATGATGATGATGATGATGATGATGATGATGCTGATGATGATGATGATGATGATGATGGGAGGAGGGATACTGGGGAGGAGGAGATGGGACGTGGGGCGCTGTCTCTTCAAAACGAAGTCCCAACACCAAAAGATGGTTGGGAACAATACGCGGAAAGGGCGGGGCATCTTCTGGACTTGGTCAGGGGAAGGGGACAGTAAGGTTCACAATGTGTACCTACGGATGGAGAAAGGGGAGAAGGGAAGGACGGGAGAGAGGAAGGGAGGGAAGAGGAGCGAAGATGAGGAAGGGACGAGGAAGGAGAAGGAGAAGGAGAAGGAGGATGAGGAGGAGGAGGAGAGTAGACCCAAAATGCATCCACGATGTCGCAGCACACCCTCCCGTCCCGAGTCCCCTCCGCAATAACTCTGCAGGCATCCATTTCCTTGTTGCAATATGGGAAGCACCATCTTGAAAGACGAGCGGCCCATGGCCTTGCCATTCAAGCGAGTCAAGCATTTGAAAGGAACTGCCCTGCACCTTTCTAGCAGTGGGACATGCGAAGCACGATCATACAATCGAAGGCAATGTTCAAACATATCACTCGCGTTGAAAAAGGATGCACCCTCGATCGGTGTAAGTGTTGCGTCCGTGTGCATTTCTGGCCATGAGTGCTGAAGAAGCCCAACGCGAGACGCTCGCTTTAAAAGCAACAGCCTGTTCGTCCTTCAAACTCTCTCTTGCACCACCTCACACGTCTCACGCGTTAGAGTGAAAGAGGTCCGAAGCGAGAGCCCCACTCTGAAAAGGCACCGCCCTCGGTCCCTGCAACTGCTGAAGACTGTTAAGACGGGTGCGAGCGCACAGAAAGCTAAGGCGAGTCCCCGATTTCACCAGGCGCCCGCCCCTCGTGTTTCCATATGCGCGGCGCGAAGACAAGACCCGATGTTGACAACCGCCCGCTTTCATCCGTACCTGGATTTAGGAGGCAACTGCTGGGAGGTCTTCGTCGGAAAGATTAAGGAGGATTAAGCCCCATTGCGGGGCTGTTACGCCAGAGTGGGCCTCGGATTCAACGGGATTAAATCGGATTAAGCGAGATTAAGCCGCACTAAGCAGGATTAAGCGGGATTAAGCCGCTAAGCCAGATTAAGCCGGACTTCGGACCAGGGCAAAATCAGAATTTGACCTCCCAGGAGTTGCATCCGAACTGGATGTTGGAAAATGTTGGTCAAAACAGTTACGCGCGGCGCTGGGCTTAGGTCGGGCATGTCTCCCTACAGGCGGGTATTGGAGGACATACTCAACAATAGCCAAACAAATATTCAAAAAACGTCCCCAGACTGTCTTTAGACTATTTTTGAATATTTGTCCTGCAGAGGGACACGCCCGACTTGACGCTGGGCGAGCCCCATTTTGAAAACCGCCCGCCCTCCATCTCTCCGACTGCCTGACGTCTCAAGGCTAAGCATCGTGCGTGTCGGTACGGCGGGCTGTGCGCAACGCGCAGCCCGCCGCACCGACACGTCTAGTGGCGCGACGAGGAGGAAGAAATAGGAGGAGGAGTGGAGGAGGGAGGCGGGAGGAGCAGAAGAAGAAAAAACAACGTAAAAAAATAAACTTTTGGCGCTCCGCGCGGATTTCTCGGATCCGCGCTGAGGCCCCCTGCGCCAGGGGCGGCGCCGGAAACGCCGCCAGGGGGGCCCAGCGCGGATCCAAGAGATCCGCGCGGAGCGCCGAAAGTTTACGTTTCTTCTTGGAGGGGAGGGAGGCAGGGAGGATTAGAAGAAAAAACAACGGCACAAACCCAAACTTTTTGGCGCGGAGCGCCAGAAAAGTTTCCGTTTATGCCGATTTGTCTTCTTCGAGGGGAGGGAGGAATGGAGGAGGAATGGAGGAGGAGGAGGAGGAGGAGGAGGAGGAGGAGGAGGAGGAGAAATGGAGCGCACAGCTGGGGGGCACCCTGGCCAGAGGCGAGGAGGGCGGGAGGCCGCCTTCGCACAGTTCAGGTAGCGGGTCACGAGGTCGTCGTCGCCGCTGTAGGGCAGCAGCTCCTCCTCGGGCGCGCCGGGAGCGGCGTCCTGCTCCTGCTGCTCCGAGGCCTCGGGCGCGGGCACCCAGTGATCGAGGGCTCGCTCGCTCTCGCTCTCTCTCTCTCTCTCTGTGCTTCCAGCCAGCAAGGAGATCGTGATCACCATGTCGGCGGTTTCATACTCGGCGTCTCGACATTGGGCGGAACAGGGGGGGAGGGACGGGGGGGGGTCTGGCGGCAGACCTCTGCTCAGTGCGACTGTTTGCAGCAGCGCATCCCATGGGGGAGACCCCACCTGCCTGAAACAGGCGCCAAAAACCGCCTAGATCTACTCCATTGGGGGGGGGGGCAGCGGGGGGGGGCGAGGGCCCGCGCCGATCGGCAAAACAAGGAATGAGAAAACGATCACCGAGGGAACCAGAGAGGATATGCATGTCGAGCACAAAGACATGCACACGGAGAACCGATGCGGAGACCCCATCGGGACGAAAATCGTGCATCTGGCCGAGCCGAATCGGAGATCCGATGCGGAGACCCCATCGGGACGAAAATCGTGCATCTGGCCGAGCCGAATCGGAGATCCTGGCGACCCGCAGAAACGAAAGAGAAGTAGAATTTCAGAGGGATCAGACCACCGCATTGAAACGAGAGCAGCCGAAGCGATCGAGACGAAGCCCGCCCTCTGACACTTCCCCCCCGCCCACCCTCCCACCCTCCCCATCCCTCCCTTCCTCCCGCCCCCTCCCGTCCTCTCCACATCTCCTGCAGAAAACGAGACCACTGTGATATGATACCCGAGGCTTCGAGACCCCCTCCTTCCGCAGCGGCAGGAGCGCCGCCCCCATGCTCCGCAAGCCACGACGCGGCGCGCGCGCACAGGAGCACGCACCGCACTTGAGCATCGTGTGTCCGATCCCTGTCCCCGGCGGCGTGGCCTGGGCCCCACTGGCCGATTTACCCCCCCAGATGGGGATTCAGGCCGTTCCCTTCGGGTTTCGAGGGGTGTATCTCCAACTGGGGGGGTAATTTGGTGGGGGTCTCGAAGGGGATGAGGATGGGGATGGGGGTCGGTTGCAGTGCGGGCGCGGCCGCAAGAAACCCAACCCTGAATACCCGCGCGCGAGGTGCACCTGAGGGCAAACGCGGAGCACCCTGAACGCAGCAGCTTCTTCGACGGCCGCGGGAAATCACCGCGCAGCGCGAGGATTACCCTGACGAAAAGCACATGGCTTCTTGATGCGCGCCGCCACTGCAAACGATACCGAGCACTGACCCGCGGGGCCCGCGCGCCCGCCGGCGCCCCGGCACTCTCCGGAGGGGAGAGAAGGGGCGGAGGTCTCGCGGGGAAGGCCCACGGGGACGCACCGGCCCGGGCCGGCGCAGAGACCGGGGCCACTCGGGCCGTGCAGGTCCCCGAGAGGTCCTGCGAGGCCCTGCAGGATCCTGCGCGCTGACCCGGGTCGAGTGCACCCCTGGCCCTGCAGGACCCCGCGAGAGCCGGCGCTCCGGCCGACCCCCGCACCATGGACGCCCGCCTCGAGGCTCCCGAGGCCCCCACGCCTCTGCCCCCGCGCTCCTCCCCCCCGCTGGCTCCTGCCCCGCCCTTCTCGGGCAGCCCTGCGGAGCCCCCGCCCGCCCCCTCCTTGTTTGGAGGGGGGGGGGGCGCTGCGCGGCGGCCGAGGGAGCACAGCCTCCCCCCTCCCCCGCCCTCCCCCGCCCTCCCCCGCTCTCCGCCTCCCCCTTCCTTCCCCCTCCTCCTCCTCTGCCCCTCACTCCTCCCAGCTCCCACACTCGCCCTTATCCTACTCCTCTCTCGCTCTCTCTCTCTCAAATCTTTCTCTCTCTCTCTCTTTCTCTCTCTCTCTCTCTCTGTCTCTCTCTCTCTCTCTGTCTCTCTCTCTCTCTCTCTCTCTCTCTCTCCCTCCTCTCTCCCACTCCTCCCTCCTCTCTCCCACTCCTCCCTCCTCTCTCCCCCTCAGTTGCTATCTTCCTCCTCCTCCTCCTGGCCCTCCCTCCTCTCCCTCCCTCAACCCCTCCTCCACCCGCTTCCTCCCTCCCTCAGCCCCTCCCCCTTCAGGCCCTCCCGCCCCCGCCTTCTCCCGCGCCACGCCCAAAAAGGAACTCGCTTCCCGCCGCCCCCGCGGGCACCTCCAGGGCGGCCGTCGCGTCCAGCTCAGGCGCCGCGGCGGGGTCGTCTGGCCTGGGCTCCTTCGCGGGCGGGCGGACCCCCGAGGTGAGGGGGCGCGCTCCCCCTCGCTCTAGCCAGAGCAAGGGAGGGGGGGACGGAGGCGGGGGGGATGTGGAAGGGGAGTGGACGGAGAAGTACGAGGGCAGGAAAAGAATGTTGCTGGAGACCGCTGCCGGAGAAATTCTGGGGCTGGCCCAGGACTTGCAGACACGAGCAGTGGGGGAGGCCCGCAAACGGCGGAGTGCCCAGTGAGGCTCGAAAACTTAGACTTTTGGCCACGGACCCCACTCCTGGACTGGCCCCGCGGGGCGTCACAGACGCTTTCGAACTATCGTGAGGGCAGTATACTGGGCCTTTGTGGAGGCGAGGCGGCCGAGGGGGAGGGGAGGGAGGAGTAGGAATGGGAGGAAGGATAGGAAGCCCCACGGAGCACGACCCCCGCATCAGCGGACAGGGGTGCGACGCCAGGTGGGGGGGGGGGGGGGGGGGGGGGGGGGGAGGGGGGGGGGGGCGGTCCTGGGGGAAGGGCGCCGGGAGCAAATGTCCCTGTGCGCTCCAAAATGGGTATACAGTGGTCGTCTGTTGAAGGCATGCAACGCAATCAAGAGCAATGAAACGCAACGCGATGCAATGCGATGCAGTACGTCGTGTAATACGCCACGGCCTCGCATATCTGGGATACCGTCGCACATGTCCCGCTTCCCGTGGCGTAGCATACAATAGCATGGCAGATCATGGTATAGCATACCATGGCTTAGCATCAAATGAGATACAGTAACATCGTACGGCATAGTACGACACTGTAGAGCATGGCATAGTGTGGCACTGCAGACAATAACAGTACACATAATGCCCACGCATTGCATTAGAACATACAACGTCAGCATAGCATCGTAACCATTCATGCAGGGCATAAATAAGCATAGTTTGTCAGAACAGCGCATAACGTATCAAGTCATAGCAACATAGCGTATCAGTACGTAGCACAGCCTCGCACAGCATAGCATGGCGTGCGACTGCACAGCATAGCATGCAATGGTTTAGCATTGCATGTGTATAATTGGTTTTGAATAGCAGCGCATACCATAGCATTGCATTGTAGTGTGCAACGCAATGATCTTATGCAACGCATACCGTCTGGCTGCATTGTTTTAAACACCGATCCAACATACAATATTTCATAGCACGGCGTATGCTATGATAGCTGGGTAGGTTAGCATTGCGTCGAGTGGCAAAGCATGGCGTAACTTTGCAGCGCAGTGGATAGACATGGCCTTGCGTCCAATAGCATAGCGCACCGTAATCCCACCAGACATTTAGGGCGTGAGCGGTTTGGCGAAATTCCTCTTCCATCTTCCCCTCCCCCTACCCCTCCCCCATACCCCTCCCCCTGCCCCTCCCCCCTCCCCCTACCCCTTCGGGGAGGAGTTTACCCCTCCCCCTACCCCCTTTTTCCTGGGTTTGGAGAGGGGGCATTCCGCGAGGTGTCGGAGGGCATGTCGTTTGGCCTCGGCGGGAAGGCAAACATCACCGATGTTACAAAGGTGTTGGCCACGTGTCTCCTGGGGGGGGGCCTAACTGAAACATCCATCTCCTCTTCTATGATAGATGTCGTCCGAGATGTTCCCAAGATGACCCTTTAGCCTCCCAAGGGTACCCCAGGGCGGCCCCCAGAGGCCCCCAGCAGAGGGCCCCAAGAGGGCCCCGAAAGGCCCCCCAAATGCTCCCAACTGGCTCCCCAGAGACCCCCAAGAAGCCCCAAGAGGCCGATTAGGTTTTGGCCACATTACGGCCTCCTGAAGGGTGACCCTGCTGTACTACGGCCTCTCCTTCGATGGATCTCCTTCAAGATGGCCCCCAGATGGCCCCCAGGGCTACCAAGGGTGCCCCAAGACGGCCCCGAGAGGTGCCCAGGAGGCCCCAAGAGGCCCCCAAGGCCCACAATTGTGGGCCTTGGGGGCATCTTGTGCACAAGATGCCCCCAGGAGGCTCCCAAGAGACCCCCAAGAACCAAAAGGCTCCCCAGAGGCACCCAAGATGCCCCCAAGAGGCCCCCCAGAGACCCCCAGGGGCACCCAAGACGCTCCAAGCCCCCCCCCCCCAGAACCGCCCAAAGACCCCTATATACCCCAAGAAGACACCGAGAAATTCTCAGATGAAATCCGATGAGACTCCGAAAGGCATTAAATAGGCAAGCAATCAAGCCGTGAATCCTGAAGACGCGCAGGCAGAGAAATGATTAAAAAAGTATGGCGGCGCGCCAAACGCGTCCCGGAAGCTGTCCGCCAAACGCGCTGCGAAGACAATGGTGTGACGCACCGGCATACTTTCATGCGTGAAAACCCTCATCGCTTTCACCTCGTGAGCCCACTGCTGTCTTGGGCGGCCTCTGCGCCAACGAAGAGCCCAGTTCTTCGGGGCACCGTCTGCTTCGCACATGAGCTGCTCCACTAGGGAATGGCCTAGCTGCGCAGCGATTTTTCGGCGCAGGCTGACTTGCTTGACGTGCAATATCTGCGACACTGGCGCGGAGCCTGCCCTCTCCAACACTGTTGCGTTAGATGCGCGCGAATAGTGCGAATGCGAGATGCCCCTGATGTCGCGGAAGATCTGCAACGGAAAGCGTATAAACGATCTCTATCCATCTTGAGAAACCAGGGGGATCTAAAGAGTATAGAAGCTCGCTGACCACGCAACTGGAAAAAATGTGAAGCTTTCTGATATCACCATTTGCCGCGCGCGCCCCAGGTTTCTGCAGCTGCTTGAATGCGTTCGCGCTTTTGCCAATGCGGCGGGATAACTCACGCTTTGCCCGCTCATCGCAAGACGCGATCCCACCCAAATAAACGGCGCCCCTGACGTGTTTCACCGGCTCGCCGGTGGGCCTTCTAATCGCATCTGCACATGCGACTTGGATCGGCACATTCTTGTCCCAATTCACCCATGCCACATGTTCGCCCTTCCAGAATGAGCGCCTC